ACTGCATGCGCGTGCGTTGGTATGCTATGCATTCTGCGAGAGGAAAGGGGTTTAGTTCATTGGGATGCCAGCAGATGAACTCCTCCAATCCCACAGTCGCTGCTTTCACTATGCAAGCCAATGGGGTATTGCGACGGCATACAACAAACGAAAAAAATGTACGTGATAAGCCATATCCCGGGAAAAGCCGAATTTACTTTTATTTTCCCCGTTATTTATATCATTCTCCAAATATTTCAGGAAAAGCCGAATACGGTTATACGCGGCTTGGGGTGTACGTTTAGGATGTTTGACAGTGACATCAGCAGCCCATAATCATCTGGAATAATTTACGGCGTGCCTGAAGTCTGGCAACAAAACCCAGCAGCCACACGGAATATCGACCCACAAAGCATCACGCCAAACAGCAGGAATCTGGAGCGCATACTCCAAGGGCAACGTGTCTTTCCTCACAAAATCACCAACGTTGGCAAGAATGACGCCCGTAATGTGGGACGGCTGTACATCCCCGCAGCCCCGCACCCTGACCTCACGCACTGTCTGCGAGGGCGCCACCTCCGACCCGTTAGGCGACCACGCTCCCGGCCAGGGATGCGACCCCGCCTCCGGGTCCGCCGGGTCCGCCGGCCGCACACGGCACACCGGGCCTAACGGCGCCGCGGTCCGTCTGGTCGGCTGCTGTCCCTGGCAGGCCGCTGGCCCGGCCGGCGCGGTCGGAATGCTCCGCCGCCCACGTGGCTGCCGTGGCGGCGTCGGCCCTGCCGGCAGCGGCGGCGGCCCCGGCGGCCCCAGCCCGCCAGACAGCCGCAGGCGCGGCCAGAGGCGGCGAGCCGGGCGCGCCGCCGCTGCTGAGCAGCTCCGATGAGTCGGACACAGCTGGCGGCCGTCCACACCCCGGCCGGCGTGGCAGGCTACCGGAGCCTCCGCCGCACCGCTTGAGAGCGGCGGGGTAACAAACACAGCGTTCTAGACCGTTCTCCGGTGTCACTGACGCATCGCCGAGACGTCTACCCACTCGCCCCCACATCTGCAGCTCCAGCCGTGGGGCGCGTACACCTGCCACTCGGTCTGCCGCTACAGCTCATCCTGCTGGCGCGCCCGAGCCTCAGTGGTTGGCTGCTGCCACTTGCCTGGCCGCTGGACGCGGCCCGCCCCGGAACGCGATGGCAGGCTCGAGCGTGTGCGGTCTGCGCCGGGGGACGGCGCGAGCCACCGCTGCCGGTAGGCCTGGGCAGCCGCCGCTGCCGGCGGTGACGCAGCGCCAGCCCGCGCCGGCGGCGGTCGTTTCGGCCGGCGAGGTTCGATGCCGGTGAGGCCATCCTATACGGCCGGCGTTGATGTTGGCACTGCGACGCCGGCTGCGGCGCGGCACAGACGCTGGCAGCCCGATCGCGTCGATCGTCCGCAGACGCGACGGCGCCACGCCGGCTCCGGCGCCGAGAGACGAACTCGCCGCAGGACCCGGCGCCGGGAGACGAACTCGCCGCAGGCTCGGGAGACGAACTCGCCGCAGGCCCCGGCGGCGAGAGACGAACTCGCCGGAGGCCCGGGGAGACGGGCCCGCCGCAGGCCCCGGTCACCAAGCCCATCCCGACACCGATCCTCAGCGTCGAGGAGAACCGGGAGTGCAGGTACTCGGCGTTGGGCCACGTTTGCGAGTTCTTAGGCAGCGTCGGACTGGACGAAGCATAAGTGCTCGCTAAATTCTGGACGGTCTTACCCTAAAACCTACTCGTAACAGTCACCACGAAAGTCTACAATCTTTTGGTCGCCTACAATGGAATTGCAATTATTTCTAGCCACCATGTTTATGCAAATACAATGCCATTGAAAGAGATTCATGGCGAAGTGAAGGTTACCATGTGCTATTTTGCATGGGTCAGTGAGCCTTTTTGGGCCCTCAGTGAAAGCCTTAAGCCACCTGCGTCTTACCAGTGCAGGATCCATGATTTCGTCAGGATGGCCGGAGGAGGGAGGGGGAGGGGGGGGGGGGTGCGGGGCACAACAGCATGACCCCTGCGGAATTTGGATCCCAGCCCAATCTTTCTTAAGATTGATGATATGTTAGATTGTTATGTACACTTTTCGTTAGACGGAAACATTGTGCGCAGTCGGGAAACCAGGCATGGTACGTTTGTGCCTAACCTGGAGCGTGCATAACATTGCACCTACGTGGAGCGCGCTAATTTTCTTCACAGCATGCAGCAGAGCAGAGCAATTTTGTTGTTTTGAGTACGATTATTTCGGAGAATATATGACAAAATGAGCTGAAGTTGGCTGGTAAATACCATCAAAAGCAAGCACGACTCTTGATTCCAGGCTAGCTATGGCTAGCCGTTTCTGTTTTGTTTTGTTTTTTTGTGTTTAGCCCGCTAGCTGATGTGATCAGCTGACGGCTGGTGACTCATGCAAATGTTTGCTTCCACTGAAACGAAGAAATACAAAATACCTTTGTTTTCAAAATGTGTTTAAGGACGTGATATGCAAGTATAATCAGTGTCAGAAGTAAACGGCGTCAGTGGCGCGTGAAATTGCCTTATGCGATCGGGCACAAAATTCATCGGCGAATGTCCGACTGCCGCTCTAAAGTCAAGGCTCCAGGGAGAAAAACCGTCATCGTGCAGGTCTCTGACCTGTGTACATGAAGCAATCTAGCCAGGCCTGTACACTCGAGCGGGCAAAACGCCCTGGCGCTCGCAAACATATGTGGGGCTTTCGGCGACGGAGTAAGACCCGTCGACTTCTTCGGAGGGTCTGCGACTTCATGAGGAGGGGTCCGGAGCGATCGAGAGTATCTCAGCGTACGCCAACAGCGTACGCCGTTTCCCGCCAACAGCGTACGCCGTCCGGTGAAGTGGGCAAAACCCAAAACCAATAGACGGTACCTGAGCGATCGGGCAGTCGAGAAAGCCGCGGCAGGTCAACAAAGAGGCTCTCATCAACGGTGCAGGGCCATTCAACCAGACGAAAAACCTAAGACCAATGTGATGGGCCCCGAGATGGCTGGAAGTGCCCGGGCTGGTTAACATCTAGGGCCCCGGCTGGGGCGCAGGGCTCTCCGAGCAAACGGAAACAACCCAAGATCAATGTACATGAATTAATGCCCTTGGGCGGCCGAGACTGCCTTAACAGATGACTGTAGAGTTCCCGACAACATCACTGGGCCCTCCGAGTGAATAGGAAGTGCCTGAGACTAAAGTGATGACCCCTAGGCGATGAAGAGAATCCGAGCAAGTCAACAGTAAGAGCCCCAACAAGACTGTAAGATTGTTCACAAATTATTTGAAATGGAAAGAGCGCTAGGTTATTGAAGAGGACCCCTGAGCATAAAGTGCTTCAATATCTTAATTTCTGTGGGTCCCAGCAACACCATAGAGCCCTCCGAGACAATGGGAAGAGCCTGGGAGCAATGTGAAGGGCCCCTGAGCAACCGAGAGTACCCCGAAAGGCTTACAAATGTGACCCCCGGTAATAGCGTGCAAAGCCCTTCGGATGAATGAGGAGAATTCGGGGAATAATTTAGGGCCCTTGATCGATCGAGGGCGCCTCGGCAGGCTCACATAAGAGGCCCCAACAGCGGTGTAGGGCCCTCCGAGCAAATGCGAACGAATTGAAGGTAACGTGGCTCTTCTGTGGCGGGATTGATCCGGCGAGTGGCGATATAGGAACCCAACAACAGCGCAGGGTCTCTGGATAGCGTAATGGGCCTTGAAACCTTCCCAATCACCACCCTCTAAATCAGCGAATAATTACTTTCGTATGATCATGGGGCCTTTACTTTTGCCTGCGACTGTTCATGGGTGAATGGAAGCCCAAAGGTGTCGAATTTTGATGCATTTTATGTTAAAAAGTTGTGTCTGTTCGGCCGGTATGATCTCTCCGGAGCCCAAAGGGCCCATGGTCCCGTGCCCCACCCCTTCTCCCGCCACCTATGGATCCGACGCTGCGTCTCACTGGTCATCACCGGTAACGCAACCGGCCGCCTTCGGCTTTTCTTGGGGACCAACCACAGTAATTTCTCGGAAGAGTGAACACTCTCTGTCTCTCCCGGGAATATCTTGTTTTAGCCGCTTCTGCTAGCCTCGTTCTTCCGAAGTTGCCAATCGCTGAGCCCTGGCATACAGTTCAACTCCACACCCGCCCGTCCCCGGAGAAGACACGGACAGACTCTTGGCAGGGCGGCCGGCTCGAGCCGTATTTCTGCCTGCCGGTGACGTCAAACAATGGCTATCACATGACGCCGGCGGCGCCGGCTGGCCGCCTTCATGTCCCGGTAGCGCCTCAGAACCGGGCGGCGGCTGCGTCCAGGCGCACGTGGCGAGAGGCGCCACCAGCGCAGACGGCGCGTGGGTGGCCGAGGCCCGGCGCCAGCTCCTCAGACTAGACCCGTCCAGACGGGGCCACGAGCGCCGCCACTCGGTGTTTACGTTGCATTTGACAAACTGATTCGGCGAGCGTGCGGAGGCGTCGGGCCTGGCCGTGTCGGATTTTCAGGACGCTGCCAGAGTGGGGTGAGATGCATGGGGGTATTAAATCGCGTCTCACATCTCATCTGCGAGAGGAAGGCAATTGGTTACTCTGGCGTCGCGCCACATCCACACCAAAATACCCTGCCAACAAATCATGCGTTTCGGCGCGCTTTTTACATTTACTTTGGCTTCGACTGTTTCCAGCCGAGAAGACCTCAGCCTTCGTCGCCGCCGGCGCGGTCTCCCGCCGGCGCGCTGACCCCTCCCCCTCCCCCCGCCGGCAGCGCCGACCGACACCTCCTCTGAGCAGCCCAGCGTGGAGACGGTGCCGTTCCCGCTGGCGGCCGAGCCAGCGCCGGAGGCGCGCAAGCCGCCCAAGTCGCCCTCGGAGCGGCCGCGAACCGCCGCCGAGCGCGCGCGCTTCGCCGGACGGCCGGACGCGGCCGGCGCGGCGCGACCGGCTCTCGGCCTCGCCGGCCGAGCGCCGGCTGCTGGAGCCGCTGCGGCTGCCGGCGCTGGCCGCCGAGCGCCGGCACCTGCTGCTGGAGGCGCTCAGCGTGCCGGCCAGCCCGGTGGACGCGCGCCGCTCGGCCACCCTCTCGCCCGACGCGCTCTCCTGCGGGCCCGAGCTGACGCTCGAGTCCTCCCACCGGCTGACGGGCTCGTCCTCACTCTACCACCAGCTGCAGGCGAGTCAGACGGGGGCAGCCCGGTGATCAGCTTGCAGATGACTTAAATCGAGCTGAATCGCCTAATACACACGTGCTGCTGATTCAACGGCACTTTAAGTGAGCGTTTAGTAAAGCTAAGTCATCATGCCTTAAAGCATGAATTCACACCACTTAGCTTGTCTGAAGAGCGGCCGCCCGTCAGCTGCGCGCCCTTTAACCTGGCATCAATCACACCCCACCCACACTGCCTTACCCCGACCTGTCAGCTGCAGTCAGACGCATCAATCAGCCGCCAGTTGCGTCTGTCAACAAGCGATCGTTCACTCCCGCGAGCCGATGCCGTCAGGGCCGCGGTGACCCTGACCCCCGCGGCCGTGCTGCAGCTGATGCGGGAGCGGCTGGTGCAGCAGCAGCAGCAGACGCAGGCGGCGCTGGCTCAGGTGCACCTGGTGCGGGATCAGCTGCAGGCCGAGACGGCCGCCCGGCTGGAGGCGCAGGCGCGCGCACACCAGCTGCTGCTGCACAACCGCGAGCTGCTCGACCACGTGCAGCTGCTGGTCGGCGAGCTGCAGGTCATCGAGGAGCGCGACGCCGTCCGGGACAAGGTCGGCAGGGGTGACGGTTGGGTCGGCAGCGGCCATAGCTGTGTCGGCAGGGGTGATGGTTGGATCGGAAGAGATCGTAGCTGGGTTGGCAGGGGTGACGGCTGGGTCGACAGTGATCATAGCTGGACCGGCAGCGGTGACGGCTGGGCCGGCAGAGATCATAGCTTGGTCGGCAGGGGTCATAGCTGGGTCGATAGGGATGACAGCTGGGTCAGCAGGAGTGACAGCTGGGTCAGCAAGGATCATAGCTGGGTCAACAGGGGTGATGGCTGGGTTGGTAGGGATCATAGCTATGTCAGCAGGGGTGACGGCTGGGCCGGCAGAGATCATAGCTGTGTCGGCAGGGGTCATAGCTGGGTCGGTAGGGATGACAACTGGGTCAGCAGGAGTGACAGCTGGGTCAGCAAGGATCATAGCTGGGTCAACAGGGGTGATGGCTGGGTTGGTAGGGATCATAGCTGGGCTGTCAGGGGTCATAGCTGGGTCGGTAGGGGTGACAGCTGGGTCAGCAGGGTGACAGCCGGGTCAGCAAGAATCATAGCTGGGTCGGTAGGGGTGACAGCTGGGGCGGCAGGGGTGACGGCTGAGTCGGCAGGGATGGCGATGGCAGGAATCATTGCTAGACCGGCAGGGGTGACGGCTGGGTCGGCAGGGATCATAGCTGGGTCAGCAGGAGTGACGGCTGGGTCGGCGGGGATCATAGCTGGGTCGGCAGGGATCATAGCTGGGTCGGCAGGGATCATAGCTGGGTCAGCAGGGTGACAGCTGGGTCGGCGGGGGATCATGGCTGAGTCGGCGGGGATCATATCTGGGTCGGCAGGGGTGACGGCTGAGTCGGCAGGGATGACGATGGCAGGGATCATAGCTGGGTCGGCAGGGATCATAGCTGGGTCAGCAGGAGTGACGGCTGGGTCGGCCGGGCTCATAGCTGGGTCGGCAGGGATCATAGCTGGGTCGGCACGGATCATAGCTGGGTCAGCAGGAGTGACGGCTGGGTCGGCCGAGCTCATAGCTGGGTCCGCAGGGATCATAGCTGGGTCGGTAGGGATGACAGTTGGGTCGGTAGGGATCATGGCTTGGTTGGCAGGAATCATAGCTGGGCCGGCAAGGATCATGGCTCGATCAGCAGGGATCATGGCTGGATCAGAAGGAACCATAGCTAGATCGGCAGTAATCATACCTGGACCAGCAAGGATCATGGCCGGATCGACAAGGATCATAGCTAGATCGGTAGGGATCATAGCTTGACCAGCAGTGGTGTCGCTGGACCGGCCGCGGCACGGTCGAGGTGGGCTCAGCGACTCCCCGGGCAGAGATGGAGCTGCCCTGAAAGCTCGGCTGATTTGGAATGCTAGTCATAACTCTTTTTTTTGGGGGGGGGGATTATTGGTGTGTGTGGAACGATTCGGTTGCGTTAGCATGACACCGTTGGGTTCGCACTTGCACTGTGAACCAGCTTCAGGTCCGTCCAGCCAGTCGATGAAGAAGACCCCCCCCCCCCCGCTCTTAACCGCAGTTAAGGCCGTTATGCTGCCGTAGCAATTCAATATTGTGGTATGTAGAATGTAAACTGTCTCAACCACCAAGACCCCCAGACTGCAATCGAAGGCGTGTTACTGCCGAATCAATCCGGTATCATGTATGCAGGATGTACATTGCTTCAAACACCATTGGAAGCGAAATGTATGTTACGGACAGCCACTTCAATGTTTTGGCAAGCCCACAGGGCCGGCTTGAACGATGGGGCCCGCTAACGGCAGCTGTTGACACACCCGTCAAATATTTGAACATTAGGAACCGTCCAATTTCCCCAATGCTTCGTCTTCTTTTTTCTTAATTATCTTGGGGATGCCAAATCCTGTTTATTTTCTCGAGTCGCTGACGTCATGCGCAGCCTCGACCATCACGTCAGCATCCTTGAGGCCCCTTCCGGCACCGCCCGACTCGCCGAGTGCTCATGCAAAAGAGATTCCCGGCGGGGTTGGCAGACGGGTTCAGTTACCGATATCTGCCCATTGGCGTCAGCATGCGGCGCGCGGCAGCGACTCGATGTAAGATGATGCGCAATTTAGCGCCGGGAGGTGTTGAGTCTGCGTCACGTGCCTCCCCCATCATCTTTTCAGCCATAACTGATGAATTGCGGCCGACTGACAAGCTGTCTGTGCATTGTCTTGCGGGTCAGCCTATACGGCGGCCGACCGGCGCGCCGTCAGCTGTCTGACAGCGCGCCGGCCCAGGTGAGCCCTGCTAGCTGACGGCGCCCTCTCCCCTGCCGTGGCCTCCAGGTGACGTGCGACGACGCCGCATCGCCGGTGGCCAGCTCCACCAGTCTCAGCTCCGACGAGGCCAAACGGTCGCCGGCTGAGGAGGCGTCGGTGCGACTGCTCCGCGACTTGGAGCGGCTGAACAGCGCGCCGGCCGGCGCCACCCTGCCGCGCGCCTCCCGCGCCGGCAGCGAGCGCGCCGCGCACGCCGCCCGCCCGGCCGTCAACCGGCACGTCAGCAAGTAGGCTCGCGCGCGCGGGCCCAGCAGTGGTCGGCGCAGCGGGCGGCCGCCAGGCGGGCGCGGCCGCCGCGAGCGTCAGTGTGCCGCGTCAGGTCCTGGGGACTCGCTACAAACGCCCGTGCTAGGCGCGCCTCACCGGCGAACAGAGTACCTCTGGATCAGCGAATCAAGTGTGTCGGCGGGGCGCGCCCCGCCCGTGTACAGACTACGTGCCTTAGTCGTAAGACCAGTGCTAGTCAGCGGGCCGACGTGTCGTGTCGGACCCCGTCCCCGTCGCCTGCCGTGGTCCCTTCGGCGCCCCGCGACCGGGCCTCGCGCCCTCCACGTCGCTCCGCCGTAGAACCCGTTCACGTAGCCTGTCCAGCTCCCGTTTTTAATATGAAGGTTGTGAAACAAATAATAACCGGAAAAGTGTCCTATTGTTTGCCGCCGTCGATTTCGCTCGCCCGGGGCGAGGCTCTTAGGGCCTGAGACACGAGTGACACCGCGACCGCGAGTAACATCCACCGCAGAGGGCACGGCGGGGCGGCGGGCGCGCCGCGCGCCGACGGCGGCGCCGGTCACGCCGGCCGCGCACAGAGGTCACAGAACACACACCAACGCGCACGAGACAACACAGAGCGGAGCACGTCGGAATGACGGCGCGCGGCGGCGGCCGACGCGCGGCCGCCGCATGGCGCGCGCTCACACGAAGCCAAAGTTCTTGGTCTTGATGGCGAGCAGCAGCTTGGAGCGCAGGATCAGCTTGCTGGAGTAGAGCGGCACATAGAGGCGCGAGATGCAGGTGTTGGCCGTCGGCAGGTGGTGGTCGTCGGCCGGTCGGATCGTCACAGACGGCATGGGCTGGAAGCCGTCCTCGCTGGCAGGCAGCGCCGGCGAGCCCGTCCAGAAGTACACCTGAGGCGCCGGGGGGCCGGGTCAGACGCCGGCGCGGCCAGTGGTGCATGCGAGCAGATAGGCGGCACCACACAGGGCCGGAACAGCCAAGAGTGCGTTCGAGCAGGGGAGTGAGAACGTGCGGCAGTCATCCTGCGCCGTCAAATGGAGCGAGAGGGTGCTATAAAGTTAGGTGCGAGTGATCGACACAAGCAGACTTGGATGGCAAGATCCGTATCAATAGAGCAAGGCGCTGTAACACGGACCACCCCGCCTCGGACGAAACTGCTTCAGTCCATTCTGCGTCAAGTGGATGGAGCATGCTACCTCGTTACACGCCAGTCCGTTGACCGCCTCCCCTTGCTCGATTTGAGACACCGTCAAAGTCACCATGGCCCTCCCCGCCCATTGGGAACCAAGTGTTCGCCATGCACCGGCGCCCGCGTGCCAAAGCGGAAGTTTGGTACGCACCAGGTCCTGCTTCTCGGGCTTGGTCATCTTCTCGACAATCTGCCACAGCCAGCGCTTGAAGCGCACCAGCCGCTCGCCGGCCTCGCCGCTCTCGTCGTTGAAGCTGGTGTAGGAGATGAGCGTTGGCACCGAGATGTCCTCGACGCCGTTGACAAGCAGGCGGAGGTCCTCGGCCGTCAGCGGGTCCAGCACCGACTGCGGCAGCACATCCAGCAGGCCCGAGCGCAGCGCCTGCGGGCGTCAGCCAGCCACCGGTCAGCCCCGCTCGGGTGCCGCACCGACGCCGGGCAGTCAGCGCGAGAGTAGATGACACGGGCCCAACGGAGTCTGCCAAGCCGGCAGAAAAAAACAAAATCGACGACGGAGAGGGCAACGCGGTGCCCAGTCAGCCATCCCCAAACCAGGGCCAAGAGTGCCCAAACACGTGAGATCTATGGCCACCGGACACCGCTAGCCTTAAGGGCACACTTCTCTGTCAGCTGCCGTCAGTTTCAGCGCCAGCCACGACGCATCCCACACACCATACACGAGTGGCGCTGCGCCCAACCGCCGAGCGCGGCGCACGGTCCGGCGGCCGGCGGCGCCACCTCACCTCCAGCGCCTTCTGCTGGCACTTGACCATACGCTGCAAGGCGTAGCGGCGCACGTAGTCGTAGACGTTCTGCGAGGTGACCTCGATCTCGGCGCCGCGGTGCACCAGGTCCACAGTGCAGCCGCCCTCCTCCGGACACAGGTCAATGCTGCGGGGCCCGTCAGCAGGGCTCGGTAAGGCGACGGCCACGCCGGCAGCGACGCGGCGACGGCACAGGTGGTGACATGCGACCGAGTTTACGTGAACAGTCAAGAGTCTGCACCCGCTCCATTTAAGGCGAACATCAGGAATCTGATATGCATTCTGAGAATCTTACTTCAGTGGACACAACCAAACGCATTGAGGATCATTCGCATCACCTGCTCAGCTATGCTGCACCAGCATTTCAGTCCGTCAATATTCGGCCTTTGACGTGATTGCACTGTGCTGTAACTGAATTAAGTCGCACACAGGTTGACGAATTCGACGGTTAGATGCCAGCCTACCCGTTCCCAACCATCAACAGCCACTAAGCCGCCCGTCTGCCGACCTGAACGTGAGATCAAGTGCCGAGAAGAGTCCATCCTTGTCGCCCTTGGTCTCGGCGTCGACCACCAGCTGCCGGAGCGACTCGTAGATGGCCGGGTCGAAGAAGGCCAGGTCGTGGAAGCGCACCGGCCGGCCCAGCAGGTATTTGTACACATGACGGCACATCGAGATCGGACTCAGCTCGTTCTGCAGCAGGCACAGGCCCATGATGCGGCCCACGTTGCGGAAGGCGTTGATGCGCTCGGGCGTGGCGCGGCCGAGCCAGGGCGCGTAAAAGCCGCGCTTGCCCGGGCAGTAGAACAGCGGCGAGGCGTCGCGCTCCTCGGTCGCCTCCTCCTCGCTCGCCTGGCGCGCCGCCGCCTTCGGGCGCGCCTTGTCGCCGAGCAGCGACTCGGACGCGGCCGCCTCGCGGCTGTGGCTGTGCAGGATGTCGACCGCCTCCTCGACGCGCTGGCGCAGCGTCTCCTCCGACGCCAGCAGCAGCAGCAGCTGCGCCGGCGACAGGTCCAGCAGCATGCCGGTCACCTTCTGCGCCTGGTGCGGGCGCAGCGCGCGCACGCGCGGGTACAGACGCGCGCCCAGCTGCTGCAGGTGCGGCGACAGGTGATCGTTGGAGCGCGCGTCGCTCAGCTGGCCGGGCGTGAAGGGACGCGCGTCGCACGAGAGCGTGCGCCGGCCCTCGCGGCCGCGCGCCAGTCGCTGCTGCGATGACTCGCGGCTGCTCTTGTACTTGTGGTGGTACGACGAGAAGGCGTACGTCTTGCCGAGCTGCACGATCTGGCAGCTCTCCAGGTTCGGCAGCGGCTTGGGCTGCAGCAGCGCCTCGGCGATGGCCGTGTAGAAGCTGCGCGCCACGCCCGTCCCCTCGCCCGGCTCGTCCTTGAAGGTGACCTTGACGCGGCTGAAGGCCAGCGGCGGGTGCGAGACCGTGCTGCGCCGGCTGTTGTTGCTGTACTGCGTGTTCAGCTCCTTGAACGTCTGCGTGATGAGCTGGGCGCGCTCGCGCTCCATCTTGTTGAAGACGATGTCGCGCTGCTGCGAGGTGCGCAACTTCTCCATCTCGCGCCGGAACTTGGATTCCTTAACGGGGAAGCCACCCAGCTCCGAGATGACCGAGCCCTGCTCGAGGCCCACGTCATCGATAAACACGCGCGCGAACAGATCGAGCAGCAGATGCCAGCGGCCGAGCAGCATGTCCTGCGAGACGCCGGCGTCGGCGGCCGGCGCGCCGGACCCGCCCGTCTCCGCCGGCGCCGCCTGGCCGGACGGGCCGGGCCGCGCGCCGTCCGCCGCCGCGCCGCTCTCCTTGTCGATGTGCACCATCATGGCGCCGACGCGCACGATGACGCTCTTGACCGGTTGCCGCTCGCCGTCGGCCGGTTTCTTGGGCGATACGATGATGGGCGCCCGCTGCGGAGGCGCGCCCTCCTCGGCCGGCCGCGTCGACAGGTTCTGCGGCTGGTCGCCGTCGGCCGGCGGCTGCAGCGCCGCCGGGCCCGCCTCCAGCAGCCGGTCCACGTGGCCCAGGCCCTCGTTGAGCAGCTCTGGCTCGGCGCGCGCGCGCGGCGAGAAGGCGGTGCGCGCGCCGCCGGCGCCGGCGCTTGGCCTGAAGCTGGCGCCGCCAGCGGCCAGCTCGCCTGACGGCGAGGCCAGCCCCAGGTGCGTGGGCACGCCCTGCAGCGGGTGGGCGCGGCCGGGCGGGCCGGCACTCGGCGCCGCCGGCGGGATGCCGAACAGGTCCTCGCGGCGCGCCGTCGGCTGCAGCAGGTGCGGCCGCTCGGCCAGCGGCAGCACCTCGGACAGTGAGCCGGCGAACGGGTCCGGCTGCGGCGCGCCCACGAACAGCGTCGAGTCCGAGCGCTGGAAGAAGGGGTGGCGGCGCACGCGGCTGTCCGGCGCCGAAGCCGCCGACAGCTGCGAGTCGTCGTCCGTCACCGAGTCCGTCTCCATCGGCGCCGGGTTGTTGTTGGTCACGTCTGACTCCGAGTTGTCGTCGTTCTCGGTCTCGTCGGCCGGCTCCAGGTCGAGCAGTCGGTCGGCCGCCGACTCGGGCCCCACCTTGGCCTCCGAGCCCGAGCGCATGTAGTAGATCAGCGCGTCGAATACATACGCCACGTGGCGCAGGGCGGCGATGTCGATGACGGGCAGCGCCTCGGCGTGCTCGCCGTTGTGCGAGCGCATCAGCGACAGGCAGTAGGTGAGGAAGTCGCGGCGCGCTGTCTGGTGGTCGGCGAACGTGACGCCGGCGCGGCCGCGCTCCTTCCGCGCCGGGCCCGGCCCGCCGGCGGCCGGCGCGGCCGGCGCCGTCGGGTCGGCGCGAGACAACGACTGGCCGAAACGCAGCTGCGCCTCCGTCGAGTCCATGACAGCCAGCAGCCAGCTCCAGGTGGGCTGGAGGTGCTGGTCCAGGTAGAGCTGCAGCCGCGGCCAGTCGGCGGCCAGCAGGTCGGCGCCCAGCGCGCTCAGCGCGCCCAGCGGCAGCAGGCCGTCCGGCTGGCCGCGCTCGCGCGCCGTGCTCAACAGGTCGGCTATCTGGCGCACGACCAGCGCGAAGG